TACGGAATGTTGCAAGCTACTGGGTATCCAGCTGAGATAGCTGACTTTTACTCAGCTATCTCAGTTGGATACTGAGGGTTTTTTTTGGTTGCTAAGATACTGCGGCTTGTTATGAAGAATTTATCGAGTCTACTTTTTTTTCATGGTTTTATAACGATGTGTAACCTTTAAAAGCGTTTAATACGCTCGGCATTCTGAGTAATCCTGCAAGCGATGTTTATGAATGGCTGAAAACAAACGGCAAAGCGAAGAAAATTACACTTTTGAGACTACCAACAATCAATATAGAAATAATATATAAATTTAGCCAGGGCTAAAAGGCGAAGCTCCCATTAATAAATATATAATTTAAATCAAACAATAAACTTGTAATCCACAAATCAGCTAACTTAAGGGCACATTCATGTGGCTTTTGAGGGAAAAGCTAAGTCATTTTAGAGTGAAACATCTCACATCGAGTTGACTTATATGTTCACCCAAAAAATCGCAATCATCTTTGATCACATTCAAGAGCCATAACGGCTCTTGATCACAGTAGATTAGGCCTGGAAAACAAATCAGGCCGAATCTTTTGCGTTCGATAACTTTACTTTACAAAATCTTGCCAACAAATCTGGGAGTGTGTAAACCAACCTTTTACACTTTTTATACATCACATCTGAGGTGAAACAGTACTATGAGGCCCTGTATTTATCATACAGACCTCGGACAGAATGCAGTCTTTCACTGTTTTTCAAGACAAATTGCACTCAGTCAATATTCAGGACGATCAATCGTTGGCTTTTAGCGAAACCGTTCAAAAAATTTCCAAAATCACCTATACGGCCAGCCGGCTCTCACTTTTGGCCAGCGGTCGAGTGTGTGAATGAACATTAATAGAGTTACGCTTCAACGTAACAACAAATTAAATTATGTTATTTTTTTTTATTTCATGGCTTTATAACGATGTGTAATCTTGAAAAGCGTTTGATACTCGCGACATTTTGAGTACTCATGCAAGCGACGTTCGTGAAAGACTGAAAACAAACGGCACAGCGATTAAAATTGCAAAAGAGACTTCTAACAATCATTGAAAGAAATATAATTCGGTGAAACATTTAAAGAGACAGCAATTTTCATTCACGAAGACAAGTATTAAAGTATCTCTAAAAATCCTGAGTCTTTAAGTTTATGTTTTAAGCCGGCTTCTCGGTGTTTGCTTTTTCAAAGATGAACTCGAGGCAAGAAAATCGCTCAAAGTTTTCTTTCTACAGGCAAATTTATAACTAAATATTCTTCCGAACGTTTTCTTTCTATTTGCGGTGAGAAAATATATCTAAAGGCTTTTTTAAGTTCTGTAAGCTTATATCAAACCTGATACTAGGTCAGATCATTGTCTCAAATCTTACAAACGTAAGGTAGGAAAAAGGTCTTCCCCGCCTGTATTTAAAAAAAACTGGTTGAATTTTTGCGTCTGAGGTCAGTTTGAAATCAAAATCGTAATGGTGCGGGGCGATACTGACATAAACACAACATATTTGATATGAATATTAAAAAAAAATAAACGTGAGCCTGCAATCATTTGAAAACGAATAAATTGTCAGCGGATAACTTCAAAAAATACTCGACCTTAATGGGTCGACACCTAAGCCCGCGATACGGTCAGGTGATACTGGTCAGCGGATACCCTGTTTTGACAGCTGTCAATTGATGACAACATTAATGTGCAATCAGCTTCCTCCTGGGCTCCCAAAGTAGCTAGAAAGTGTGAGAGTAAACATTGGTATGCCTGTGGCGCGGACGGACGGTCGGTCGCTCGGTTGGTCGGTCACGTGATTACCAAATTTTCTGGGATGGGTAGATTACCTTAGCTATGGGGCTCCGCTACAAATTGACGACGATTTCTAAAGGTTCTAACAAATTTGATTGCCTAAATGAGGAGATGCTCTTTATAAGAAAACTCAAACCATCCCTAGACGTGCAGGCGGACTCGATTCGCGCAAAGGTATTCACTTGAACAACTTGTGATCCTTTGTTATTATGCTAATTTGTAGAGACTATAGAAATGAAATCTTTTCATTACTTATTCATTTTGCCTTGAGAAAGGTGTCATGATGATACCGAAACGTCGGCTTTTAACGTTAATATTCGCTTGCTTTGATTCCATTAGCAGGGAAATATGTCCTTATCAATTTCTAAGGTAATTTGCCAAAAAAGATCAAGGTTTTGGCATAAATTACAATCTTTTCCCGCTTCTGGCTGAGGGTCACCGCACAACTAGTCTTGCGCACAATAGGTTTATAAGTTAAACGT